AAGAAAGAAAAATCCTTTAAGAACTTATTGTGTGTTCTGTTTGATCACAATATGTTATTAGCTGAAGGAAGTAAGGCACCTGCTGCTGCATCTAAGGTTGGGACTTCAGCAAATACAAAACCAAGTAAAGCAGCAAAACCTCCTTCACAAAAGAATGATGGTTCTCAAGTTGCAGCTGAGAAGAAGGGTGGTGATCGTGCACCTGAGAAAGATAGAAAGAAAGATGCTCCCCATCCACGAATGCAATATGATGATACGAGCCGGGTGGAGAAAGCCAAAAAGCGTGCAGTTGTAAAGCAAACTGAAGCTAGGAATAGAGTGGAACTGTTCAGGCATTTGCCTCAATACGAGCATGGAACTCAGCTTCCTGATCTAGAGACAAAGTTTTTTGAACTCAATCCAATGCATCCTGCTGTGTACAAGGTATTCCTGCAAACTCAACTTTGGGCTTTTTTGGACTTACAAAATCAGTATACACACCCACACATTTATACATGCAAAAATCATACTACATGCACATATATGTATGTATGGAGATGAATATGTGTGTGTGTCTGTGTCTGTGTGTGAAGGTGTTCTAGATTGGGTCAGTCATATGTTCTTGTCTAATTATGCTTTACTTAAGCCTTACTCACTTTATTGCAAGCTTTCTGTGGTAGTCATTAGTATATAAGCTTTTGTTGCATCAATGTGTAAAAGAGATAAAAATATTGGCCAATTTTAGTCTTAACTACTGCTTTCCTTGGTTTGACAGGTTGGATTGCAGTATTTATCTGGAGATATATGCGGTGGCAATGCTCGTTGTATTGCAATGCTTGAAGCATTCAAAGAGGCTATCAAGGACTACTCAACTCCACCTGAAAAAACTCTAATTAGAGACTTGACTGCAAGGATTAGTAGTTATGTTTCTTTCTTGATTGAGTGCAGGCCACTCTCAATTAGCATGGGCAATGCAATCAAGTTTCTAAAGAGTCGAATTGCGAAGTTACCATTGTCTCTGTCAGAATCAGAAGCAAAAGCTAGCCTTATGTTGGATATTGATCGTTTCATAAATGAAAAGATCATCCTTGCAGATAAGGTGATAGTCAAACATGCTGTTACAAAGATTAGAGATGGTGATGTTCTTCTCACATATGGGGCATCCTCTGCAGTTGAGATGATATTATTGCATGCCCATGAACTTGGCAAACAATTCCGTGTTGTAGTGGTTGACTCTCGCCCAAAGCTTGAAGGACAACTCTTACTACGTAGGTTGGTGAGGAAGGGCCTTAGCTGTACATATACTCATGTAAATGCTGTTTCTTGTATCATGCATGAGGTTACTCGAGTTTTTCTTGGTGCTTCATCAGTTTTGTCTAATGGAACAGTTTACTCAAGAGTTGGGACTGCTTGTGTTGCTATGGTTGCTCATGCACTCCATGTCCCTGTATTAGTGTGTTGTGAAGCATATAAATTTCATGAAAGGGTGCAGCTTGATTCGATATGCTCTAATGAGCTTGGTAGGCGTTTCTGTTAATAGATATTGGAGTAACTTTTTACCAGGTTGTGTTTCCTCTTTTTGGTCACTTAAATGGAAGTGGCTTAGGTGTCTGTCTGTTCCATTCGTTACAGGTAATCCAGATGCCATTTCAAAGGTTCGCGGTAGAGAGGAAATCAATTACTTAGATGGTTTGGTCAATTGTGAAAATCTGCAGCTTCTGAATCTGATGTAAGTGTTTATAAATTTGATGATGTGACAATAAGGCTACGATCCTTGGGACTGACAGTTCAGAACTTTTTCATGACAGTTATGATGCAACACCTTCAGATTATGTCTCCATGGTAATCACAGATTATGGCATGGTAAGTTATGATTTGATAATGCTAGTCTTGCATCTTCTCCGTCTTAAGGAAAGCATCTGATGCTTCTCTATAAATTTTACCCACCCAGTTTCTATGTCTTCATGGACTAACCATAGTAGAAGAATTGAATATGGTTAAACCTTGTGAGGGTGTGTTTTTTCTTTCCGATTTCCGACCCTTGCTACTTGTTTACTTATGTTGCTATGCTATCAGTATAAACGAATTGGGTGTTTTTCTTGCTTTAGGTGCCACCCACAAGTGTGCCTGTCATTGTGAGAGAATATCGAAGAGAACACCTATGGTCCTAGATTGACGAGGGTTCACAACAATTTTGCTCATGTTGTAGACCATCATTCTGGTCAATCTGAACGGAACAATAAGGAGAGAATTTTTTTTTTTTTAATCATCATATGTTTTCATTTCTCCTGTTTTTTGGGTCTTCCTCACGGAATAAGGCTAGAGGTTTCCAATTTTGTGGGTGGGTGTTTGTTTTGTAAAGCTGACTCAGTGAAGAGTGCGATCCTTTCGCCTCTCCGGGCAGAAGCATGATGCGATCTCCTGTTGTAGCAAGTTTTGGTTAATTTGGGTTCTCTTGAAGGATGATAGTTGTAGCAGATTCGACATTTCGATATTTGCTTCAACATGTAGTGCCACAGTGATTGTGACCATATTTAGTCAGTTGCTTTGACATATAATCTTATATAGCATATTACTTTGCCTAGCAAAGAATCTAGCACATTTAACCACATAACAACGTTTCCTAGGTGTTTCAACTTTTCTTTCTATGCTTCCTTAATATATCCAACAAAATTCTAAATTGGATGGCTGCAGAAACAAACTTTGGGTTGCCATCAAGCATGTCAAACCCTAATCGAGACTGGAATGCAAAAGCAAATCAAGTATTTAATAATTCATTTAGGAAGGAGAAAAAAAAGGCCGAAAGCATCATGTTTTGTCTCGAAATACAAATGCAGCAAATGAAATCGTCAAAGATTATACACAAAATATGCCAAAACTTTTTATAACATAGATTAATTATCTTATCATTGATCTTCCATTTTAATCATGTCTTATTTTAATTATCAATAATAATATTACTTCTTATCTTTTATTTTTACTTTATAATAATATTTCAAAAACAAATAATACATATAACATAAAAAATTAGTAAAAAGTATCAATTAAACGGAAATTTCCACAATGTAAAAGGCCAAATAACCCACAAAAGGATTCCTCTCTTTTTTTTTTTTGGAAATTTTAATACCGTGTTCAACAGTAGCAAAAAAGAAAGCCAAATGCCCTAGGAAGAGACATGACAGTAGACAGTAGCCACCTCAAATTTCTGTCGCAGATTTACATGTAATACAAGCTTTTCAGATTTCGTTACTTGACTTCATTTCTCTAGCTACAAACTCATCCTGTAGTTCTTCGGGAGGAAGAATACGCTGAGTCTCCTGGACTTGCAGGGGGGAAACACATGGTGCCTATTCCACAAATCCTCTATGGGCATCACTTTTGCCATTCACAGGAGTGAGCGTAGCAAGAATGACAAAACCACCCAGGATAACAATCAAAATACCCAAAGAGTTTACAAGCAAAGCCTCGGTAGAGTAGCGTGATATTACCAGGTTAGTTTGAAGAAAAGTAAGCTTTTCTAAGATACCAGTAGTAGCAGTAGCAACAGCAAGGCCATATGCATACATCCCAAGGAAAACATGCCATGGCAACAAGGCAGCTCTTCCGTTTCTTGACCCACCTGGGTACCAAAAGGTTGCAAATGCAGCAGCCCACTGTACAGCAGAAATTAAAAGAAAAACACAAACATCATTTCAAGACCCAACTTCTGGACAAAATGAAGCAAAAATGCACTGGAAAGGGAAATAGAATAATAAAAGTAGACCTGGATGCCAAATAAGAAGAGGCAAGCTAGGCCCAACCACGAGTGTAGACTGTAAAAATTGTCGATGCCCTTATCATTGTGGAACTTCAAAGCAGCCCATAAACCAATAATACTCAAGATAAAAGCAACACATTGTACTGTAAGATGAACTAATTTTTTGAAGCTTTTTGTCCCTGGAACGGTCTTGTATGCCAGCATGGCTGCATTAATCCATACCACACAAGAGTTATGAAAAGCGGGATGATAAAGATTGTGACCTTGTTCAGAATTTCATAAAATTTCACATTCACAATTCTCTGATTCTAGAATTAAATTTCCCATGAGACACAAGGTTTTTCAGTGAAGTCATTGTTTCATGGCCTAGGCCTGCCTATGGCAGATCAAAGGCGATAAATGAATTAGCAGATGACATTTCAAAAATTTTGGCTTTAGCTCCCAGAAGCACCTAAAAGGGTAAATAACCTAAATATTTAACTAAGCAAGTTATTGGCCTAGTCATTTGTATGTGTGAATCAAATTGTAAATACAAAGCATGCATAGTTTTATATGACATCAAAAACAACTAGATAAGGGTAGCATATGACTCAACTAAAAAGAATCCAAATCAAGCTGAAGGCTCAATAGGGACTCAACACTAGTTCAAGGCCGCATTATATTATCAGGTCCATATCACTTAAAATTATTTGTATACAATGACAGAACCTTTACCATCCACAAATATGGCATCCACGTGGACCTCCATGACCAAACAGTGGCAATTCAAGTGCTTTAGATTTGTAGTAAAAAAAGTTGGAAATACAAACCCCAGATTATTCTTGTTCAGAATTAAAAAAAAAAATGGATGCAACAGCGTGAAGGAAACACCTAAGTTACCACCGCACAATGTGTTTTAACAACAGCATTCCTTCTAAGAATCATTATTCAGGTGATGCTTCCTTTAAGCAATAGAGTTCTGAACTAATCTTGATGACAAGAAATTGTAGCAATTAGGGAAGAGGAAAATGACACTCTGCGAATCCGAGGGGGAAAAGTGGATTAACTTAATTACTTCCTTCCTACTTGGAAGAAGAAGCAAATTTATACTCTCTGTGTACCAGAATATATATATATATATATATATATATATATTATCTAGCAAAATCTACTGAATAGGAAACCAGCTTCTGCCGAGGCACAAAGAGAGAGAGGGACAAAAAACTTGTGCTTGTGCATGTACAAATAATGTATTATGTCAGTCAAACATGAAGTAAGATCATGGTACCGTGTTAAATACTCACAAACTCTTAAAATTCCTTAAGCAGCTTTCCTGTAAAAGCAACAAAATTTCAAAATAGAAAAAAAGAAGGCATAATACATATTTTCAGACCAATATCCTTCTGAAAATACATGACAATTCCCTCAATTTATCAAGAAAAATCATGCATTGAAAAGTCAAAGAAACAGCAGGAGATCTTAGAGATACAGAACTATATTAGAGTAACTCTGCTAATAGTTTGAAGGTAATTCACTTTTCAAGTCTTAAAAAACCTCAATAAACCTATCAGTGACAATAAGGGGTAGGCACTATGCAAACTTCTGAGTTCTTAACATGCATCAATGTTTCATCCAGACTCCAGATTCATTCTTTCATCCTATCCAATTGATGAAATTTAATTTGATAAACTTGAAAATTAATCATCTCACGAGGAAACCATATAGAACTGTAAAAGAGATGTTCTGTTACATTTAACTAAATATTGAACCACCTAGCACATTCTTACAGTGAGAAAAGACATTCACCTTCACCATTTAAGAGCACTAGTCCAATAACCATCAAAACAGGATGGACCTGCAATTAAGTACACAACAACAGTGAGTTTTTTGCAATGGAAAAGAAAATAATCCTCTTCATAGGTTAGACTAAGAAAGACACAAAATAAAGATTTGTCTAATTGTTGCTTTGTTTTCTTACCTTTACTTTCTAAAACATCGTTACAAAGCCAAACATAATTGTAATTGATTAAAACAGAACAAATCACTAAAATACAATATCAATTCCAACATTATTTTTCCATATTAAAGTAAGATCATGTATGTTGTTATCCAAAGAAATTAAAATTTTTCAATTGTTCAAAAATATTGCTTGCTTTTACTTTTTAGCTTCCTAAAGAATACAAAAAGTTAGCAAAAGCAATAACCGAACTGATTCCTAAAAGGTAATGCTAATCACCATTTTCTGTTACTTCTAAACTGCATTGCTTTCCTTAATTCTACAATTAAACATTGTGAAGAATAGCAGTATTTCTTCTAGTTAGAATAAATGACATCATTAACTTCTAATATATCCTCACTTTTCCACTTATTAATTATCATCTAATGCAAATTATAAGGCAAAATAGCAACAAGATCATTGGATCACCATATCTAACCAGAAAAAAAAAAAAACCAAAAATGCCTAAAACCCAGTAAAAGAAAATCAAAACCAAGTAACTTGCCAATAATTAAAAGAACTTTTATTTCTTCTCTACTTAACAAAAAGAAAAAAAAATAGACAAAATTAAAGCCAAAGAGGAGAGAGATTACATTAAAAATGAGATCTTTGTTATCAGAGATGAGCGCCAATCCTCCTCTATAGTGAAGGGTCCATGTAAAAACAAGAGCTGTTATTACAATTCCCAATACTCTTACTATCATAAAGATTGGAAATTTAATCACCGGAGCCCCCATTTTCTTACAAGAAGTAAGACAGACAGACAGAAACAAAGGCAAAGATATGTTTTTCTAGGGTTTTAGAGATGGGTTATGTCAGAAGAAGAACAAAGTTGCTGCCTTTGGTTTCAATCAAGAGAAGAAGAAGAAGAAGGATTTGTCCTTGTTTCTGAAGAGAGTAGATCAGAGAAGGCTTTCAAAGAATTCAACTTTCAAAATTTCAACCAAGTGAGGGCAAAAGATTGAATAGAGAAGAAAAACTGATGCCAGGTCAGCACACAGTCTAAGTCAGAGATTTATACTCTAATCTGGTGCCACGTTGACTTTGCTTTCTTTTTCTTCGCTATTTTACTTAATTATATTCGCATCCAAATTTCTTTTCTATTTTTCTTCTCCTAATTTGAATCCTTCCTTTTTTTAATAAAAAAGGTTTTTGTATTTTTTAAAAAAATTATATTTAAAAAAATTGAAGGAATCAAATTATATAATAATTATATTTGCCCACTATTATTTTCAAATAATATTTATTTCCCTTTTTTGTTCAATTTTGTACATACTATTTTATTTTTTATCTGTTCTATTTAACAAATAATACTTATCATGAGAATCCTCATCCTCCATTTTTTATTTGAAATATTACTTTTTACTTGTTAAAAATGTACAAAAAGATAAAATTTAGAGTAAATTATGAAAAATAATTAATTTACTAAGTTCATTTCCAAAGTAATCTTTAATATAAAGTTAATTTTTTTTAACTTTTACCATAACTAGATAAAAATATTCTTAAAATCATTTCAAACAAATTAAATGTTCTCAATTTCTCTCTCCCGTTTATTGTGCTCTTTATTTTTCTCTCTCGTTATCTAACTTTTTTTAATTTTACTATCATCATTATCTTTTTATGTATTTTTTGTTATGTTGTCATATCGTCGTTGATCGAAATAGTATGATATGACAGATAACATGTTATTGAGTTTATTGATTTACATTTACAAAATTCTCTCTCTGTCTATCTCTTTCCATCTTATTATATCATCATCGATCTACAGAACAAAAAACATGTCATGGTGAGTAATAACATGTTCTTGGATTTATTAATGTTAAGTTTTTTAGTGATTCAAATCTAATAGAACATGCCTTAGCGTATAATAAAATGATTCATATATTGACGATTAATATTAATAAGAAAAAGGAAACTTTGTAACATTTAGTGTTAAAGCTTTGAACGTGACGTGTAACATATAGTGTTAAAGCTTTAACCTTGACATGTAATATCTGCTACTGAAGTTTTAGTGTGTAATATCTTATACTAAAGTGTGTAACATCTACTTAGACTTGTAGTGTCATTTTATTTTTTTTTTATGTTATTTTTAGTTATTTTAAAGCATAACAAACTAAGGTTTTAGTTGTGCACTCCATCAATGTTTTGGAATTTTTTTGTTTTTTGATTTACATCTACGGATTAGGAGTTTTTGATATTTTGTAATTATATATATCTAAAAAATCTAATGAAGGTGAGAGAGGTTTTTTCTCCAAAGTTATTAATCCCTTATTTTGTTCATCTTTTTCTTTTTTTGAAAATTTTTAGATTTTTTTTCTGTAATTTTTTTTGAAAAATTAACAATTGGTTTATATTTACAAAATTCAAAAGTTGATGGGTTAAAGTTGTAAGTGAAATGAAATCTATGAATTAAAACACTACCTAAAATTATTACACATTATACTTGCATGCAATAACTCTAGTTTACTTGGTGTATATTAAATCTATTGAATATGACATGCTGTGTAACATGTTTTTGTATATGTTTGTATGTAACAATTTTTTTTTTTCTAAACAACGTAGTCAAATTTTTTTAAACAGTAATAATAACATTTTTTAAATATAATATGTAATTTACTCTTTTGTATTTCATTAGAACAGAAACTCTTAAAGCTAAACGCTAACATATAACAATTTTTTTTTCAACATGGCATATAAAAATATTTTTTTAAAAATAGCATGTAATAATAACATTTTTTAAACATGATGTATCACTTGACCTCTATCTTTATATTTTATTTCATTATGATATAAACTCTTAGAATTAAACATTTTCATAGTAGAAATAAAGTTTAAAATAAAAGAAATTTACTTTAAAATCAAAAGGTAAATATTATCCAAAATCTCTAAATTGGATAATTAACTTTTAGAGTTATTTTATTTGTTACATTTCTTGTAATCATAAAAAAAAAACATAATATGTAATAATTTTTTTTTCAACATGACATATAATAACAATTTTTTCAACACTAATACTTGAATATGGGTAGGTTTCATTAAAAGCAATTTAGTCTAAAAATTTTATCTTGGCTAAAATAGTTAAAATTAAAAAAAATTTATTTTTGAAAGTACCTTATCTTTGAGGGTTAAAAAAATTGTCTATAATTTAATAGTAAAGAAAATAAAATTATAATTATTTAAAATAGACAAATAGTTAAAATGTAACACTAATTTCATCTAACATAATTCAGTAAAATCATGTACTTAAAAAAAATATAATTTTTACTTCTATTATATATAGAAATATTTGTTGACATATTTTAATGCTACTTTTTATTTATTTTTCTTTATACATTTGAAAAAGAACCAGCAAATAACCAAAAACAATAATGGAACAGAACTTTAGATTGTTTATTTTAACTATTGGGATGAATGCTGAAATAGTGGTCATCAGCCATCGTAATTATTATTAGATGAAGAAAGACTGCTACATGATACATCCATCCATGTTCAATGACCATCCATAATATTTTATGTCTTTTGTTTTAAACAAATATAAATAGAGTCAGAGATGAGACATACATAGAATTTCTTGGTATATTAGGAATTGATAAAATATCGATAGAAAGTGAAAAAAAAAAAAAAGAGAGTAGAAGAACCCTTCATTTGATTTCTAGCATTTGACTTCATTGTTGTGAAAAATGATTGCAAGAAAATAATATAATTTGAAAATTTTTAGTATTTGGTACTGTTGGTAAAAAACAGTTAGGGAGAAATACATGATATTAAAACTATAGAATGACCCATTTTCTTATATTTTAAGAAAAAATAATCAAACTAAAATTCACCTAATACAAAATTGTGTTTATTTGCCAAAACAACAGGAAAAACTGGGTTTAAACAGATCAAATCACCTCACACTATCCATACAAATACTTATGAGCAGTGCAATGGAAATCCCATTCTGTCTTCTGGGGTTTTGCTTATTTCTATGACTCCACTCATTCCTAAAGCAGCAAGTGCTCTAGGAGTACAACCCAAAGCCATTATGAGCGTCTTCAATTTGGTGGCCACATCCCTGCGTTTCTGGTAATACTTTGATCTGTGCTCAATCTCGGCTTCTAACTAGGTGGAACGATTTGCCATGCCATATCCCCTACCCCTCCCACCATAACCATAGCCTCTTCTGTAGTAGTAAGAACCACGTCCTCGACCACCATGAATAGGTCCACGGCCACCTCTACCACCACGATGCCACGGGAAATCGCCAAAGGTCTATACAAATATTGTCACAAGAAATTCTTATCAAGAATACAAGACCGTGCTTGTTGATAAACACAACACATATTAACAAATACTAAGGCAGAGATTTAAGCAAACCCCATCATATGCCCAGAAGCCATAAACAGGCATGGTTTTAAAGGTTTAGTTCTTTGGTCAAAGTCTAGATTCCAATTCCTCCTATTCCCCACTGAACTTGTCATACACAAATAGAAAACAAAAGGACACTAAGCAGTTGTAAGTATATTTTAACTCTATATGACAACAGACAAACAAATATAGTTAAAGTTTCTTAAGTCAAACACATAAACACATATGCATAAATATATAAATACACACACATGTATATACATACGAAAGAAAATATTTTTACAACTTTAAATGCTCCAATGATGTGAATAATGCAAATGGAATATAGTACCTCTGTATCTCTTCTCATTTGCTCTGAAAATCTAGTTCTCCCATTTCGAGACCCATCATCAAGAGCATCACAGGACAATGAATCAAAAAAATCATCTTTGACATATACAGGCTGCAAAAATGGAAAAATAGGAGTAAACAAAATGAATTTATGAACCAACTAGTGCACACTTGCTTGGCACCAACATACACAAGGGGTGGGGGGACAGAGAACTTTCCTTAACCTCCACTAATGAGGATCCAACACTATCTTCATTTTGTAAATCCTCTTCCTGACCTCTGCTACTTTTGCCAAGATGACCCCAAACTTCATCCTTGTTAAATTTCTCATTCATCACTGTGAAATCAAATTCTTCTGTAAATCTGGTTGCCGAACGGGAAATCTACAGTAAAAAATTTTGACATTAAAACCAAGCCCAGTCATCAGACTGTAAAAGCTATGAGCCTTGTAGGTTAATGAAGGTTGGCAAAGCAATGACCAACAGAACAAAGGTCTTACAGGGCAAAACGGTTGGAGACTTTTAGATAAATAAAAAGAGTTCCATTAATTGATAGAAGAGTACATTCATCTTTCCCCATTGGCCACCACAAAGCCATCCATGATTTTCTCATTGTCAAAGGTTTGAGAATTAATTTAATCTATCAATTTTGTAAGCAATAAGCCATAATGTTCAAATGTGTGTTTTCCTAGTGGGATTTGGTTGGTAATATCATTCCCTTCACAGACTTTTAAAGACCTTTAAACAAAACCTTAAAATACTTAAGAACTCCAACATCATGATCAGTCAATTCCCATGATTATACTCCAACAAGAATACACCATAAAGTTTGCAAAAAATCTAGTTCGAACTACTTGTTTTACCTCAACCTTTAGTTTAGAGTTAAGTAATCAAACTAAACTGACCCAAAATGACACCAGGCAATCTGGGAAACACACAGATGCTGCAGGCTCACACATACTAGAAGGGAACACAAAGATAACAGTTTCAGATCTGCACATGCTCCACTGATCACTTCCACATGTTCAAGACTATCCAAGCACATACTCCATCTCATATTTATATGGTGAAGCTAATCGAATATAGAAATTCATTTGTCAAATCATGCTTTCACATGCAATCAATCTACTATAATTTTCAAAATGACCTGAATAAGTTTAACTGTTAAAAAAGAAAGGGCAAAATTTAAATTATGAAATTCAAAAGGTGGGGCAACCAAGTTAAAATGGTTATAGACAATGATTTTCTCAAGTAAATAATATTTTGATATGTTGAAACTTTGGGTGAATATTCTGTGGGGTTAA